GGGAATAGTAGAACTGGATAGAGAAACAAGAAAGAATCAATAGACGTATGTAAGGGACTGTAGTTTCGAACGCAGATATGGACACTCACTATTTCCAGGGCAAAGAAGCAGGAAGAGAGCTTTACAGCATTAAAGATATGCTGGAAATAGGGGCGTTATTTTTAAGGCAATATCTGGTACGGACTCTGACAGAGGTAAAGGATAACGGTCCATGCAAACTAGAACAGCAAACAATGGGAAATAGAGAAAATCATCAGGAAAATGTAGAGAACGTCGAATTCAATGACTGGAAGAATAAAGAGCTTCATGGACAGTATCTTAGCAAGCTCACTGAAGAAATAGTTATTTACCAGATTTTAAACTGTCTATCAAGATTTACGCTCAATCGCGAAACGGAAGTCGTCACCTAACTCTCCAATACCAGGTGCTGTACGCGAACTCGTAAAAACCGAGTCGAGATCATTCACAAGCAGCCAGAAGCAAAGTACAGAATGTGTCAAGTGAATGATGAGATCGTTGCAAATAAGATTTCCGGGTGTTAAAGGATCGGGAATAGAGAATAAAAAGCAAGGCATAACAATGCTGAGTCCACTAACATTTGTGCAAACGAGCCGACATACCAGTGGTAAAGCAATTATGGTAAAATTAGCCGAAAACGGTGAAAAAAACTGGGTAAAAGACAATACTGTGGAACTTCCAAAAAACTGAGAAAGAAAGGTCGGCTCGTGATCTGGATAGTTTATTGGTAGAAAAAACGGGTACAAATTATTGATGCTGCATGTACGGCTGATGGCGACGCATTGAATTATCAAGAATTGAGAATGTAAAGACGGAAGATCTAGAGAGTGAAAGAAAAAGTTATTCCTGTGGTGATCAGTGCCCCGAGATCAGTTAAGAGACTATTAGCGCCTACTGAAACCAGTTGACGATTGGATCAAGGAGATTAATTGCATAAGACGACCCTGCTAAAAACAATCAAGATTTTAAGAAGAACACTGCAGCTACGTAACCGCTGGTAGAGGGTTCGAGCAGAAATAAAGTCGACGCCACAAATGTTATATTTTATGGTATGTAACTGCAACAAGAATATCATTTAAAGGTCCGTGTCTAGGTTGTACAGGTGAAAATTAGGACCGTCACGTCATGCATAGCATTGTCTAATCACTGTGATTTTCAGGCCTAATCTGTTTCTGGCCCACCCGTGGGTGAATATAAACCTGGACCCTTTGACAACGGAAATGCTCAGCAATCGTCAATGTTCTACGATAACTGGTTGAGGAGCCTGATGGAGGCCACTCGTTCTCTTTCTTTCGTTGCTCGACTGATTAAGTATTCAGAAACGCTGTGTGTTTACCGCTCCTTGACTCCCATACTTCCGTTGCTGCTTTAGAGGATGAGTGTTTGCGTGCACTTGTGCATTTTAATAAAAACATTTTAATACTACCTGGATAGTTTCAGCCGCAGAAAGAACAACCCGTTCGCTTAATCCTTCAATGAGGACACCTTGCGTCATACTTTCTCTTATTTGCAGTCCGCAGTTGCTCGTTTCCAGCAAATCGAAAAATTTTTCTTGGTACAGTTCAACGAACGAGCACTTGCATAAGAACTGAATCGCGGTGCCATGCTAAAAAAGACTACAATTATATCGTATAATGCATATAGATTTATTTACATGGTATGACTGCTGAGAGTCGGTGGAATTACACCAAATCTAGTAATACGCAGATGAAAGCAGACGATATCAGTCGATGGCTATGTGTAACGGGGAGAGAACGAAATGTTTTACACCGGTTCGAGGCAATTTCTGGCCATTTAGTACATACTCGTTGGTAGGGACTGCATGGATGTGCGTGCCATAATACGGCAGAGAACACAGTCAGTTGGTAAATAAGTATTATTAGTACCATA